AAAAATAAATTTCCTTATGCAAAAGAAACTTGATAGAGAGCAACACTCTGTTTTTATTATTGCTGCCACCTACCCTTTAAGTAAGTGCCAAGTCAGCAGAATCCAAGATGGCACCAAATCACCACTCTAGTGTCCATGCCCTGTATAATGCTTTCTTCTTAAGGGAGTGAGACTGTGTCTAAGGTTGGTTTTTCTCTTGTGATTATGTTAACCAATAAAAATGAAGACCCCATAAAGTTGGGGTTCATTGAAAGTTCATTGAAAGTTTTGAGTTCATTGAAAGTTAGATTGTCTAAGGTGGCCATCATTTAATTGGGTGGCAATCCTTAAAATGGTCAGAGAGTTAAAGAGAGAAATATTTTCTTCTGCTGGCTTTAAAGAAGCAAATGCCCATGCTGGTTGCGTGGGTCCAGGGGTGGAACAGGCGGGAACAGAACACTAACAGAGTGGCCTTGGACAAGATATTAAGTTTAGTATTCCTCTATGAAGTGAGACCACTTTCTAGTTCTATCAGTAGAACACTATGTTTTTATAATTCTACCATAGGTCAAAATTAAACTCACTCCCATGATACCACCAGTCAACAAAAACAGCATTCACTTAACAGATAGCATTGGAGCCTGTTTTGGAATACTGGAATTGATTACAATCTCCAACTTCTGGAGTTATTAGAATGATATGACATATGATTTTACATCTAGCACATTTTCTAAGTGTTTTGCATCATAAATAAAAACTCAGGCAGGTTTACAAGGAAACATTTGGTTTATGGGGTTGAATATAATGGTGAGTCCTTGATCAAGGGGGAGGGAAGGAGGGAGAGAAAACTTTGAAAGTAAAGGTCAATTGTAATAATAAACACCGTAACAATAACTAATTTCTCAAGAATGACCATGAGCAGCAATGGTTTTGAGATAAAAATCTGAAGACTCTCCTTTAATCAAGCCAACATGGAACTGAGTTCCTATTCATGGGAGTTGTATGTACAAGGGTCTAGAACAATTGAACCCATTTCACAATATCAGAATCCTCTTCAGTTTCAGCTGCATCTAAGGAGTTTTAATTTGAAAGATGATGAAATCTTTGGCATGTTGTCTGCTCATTTCTTTAAAAGTAGATGAGAATTAAAAAAAAAAAGACTCTTTAAAAAAATCCATTTGAAATGATCTTAGACCATGTGTTCTTCTTTCAAGGAAAAAACAAAGAAGTCAATACATGGACTTCTCCCCCAAAGAGATCTCCTGTCTCCGTGTCCAGGACTCTGGAGTAGATTGCTGGGCATCTGACACAATAGGAGTTGCTTCTGTCACTGCTCTCAAGGCTAGAAGCCTGATATAAAGGTGTGGCTGGACTCCTGGAGGCTCCTGGGAAGAACCCTGCCTTCTCTCTCCCAGCTTCTGGCTGTCCACATACCTTGGCTTCATTGGTTTTTGCCACCTCACTCTAATTTCTGCCTGGGTTTTCTATTCCCTCGTGTAATGTGGACAGGTATCAAATCTTGTGCTGCCTTTGTCTTATGAAATCACTTGCCATTGGATTTAGGACCCACTTGGATATGCCAGGGATTTTTCTCAACATCTTTAACTTTATTAAGTGTGCAGAGACCTTTTTCCAGATAAGGTGACTTTCATGATTCCAGGATTTGCACTAGGACATATTTTGGGGAGCGACCATTCAACCCACTCCCTTGCCTTTGTTTATTATCTGATATGAATTAATTGAGTTCTGTCTTTTTCCCTATCATCCCCTTACCCCCATACATATACACCAAAATCAATACTCCAGTTAAGTCCTAACCCTCAGTACTCCAGAAGGTAACCTTGTTTGGCATGAGCTGTTGCAGATATGATACATTCAGTTCAGAAGATGTCGTTAGAGTGAGCCCTATTCTGATATGATTCCAGTACTTTTTAAAAGGAGAAATTTGGGGGACTCCCTGGTGGCACAGCAGGTTGAGTGCTGTGCTGTGAAGCTGTCCGCAGCCTCTACAGCACAGGTTCAATTCCCAGCCGGCCCGGGAGAAATCCACATGACTTGGCAGACCTCTCCTGCCTTGCCTACTGCTCTCCTCAGCAGTGTCTTTGGTCCGTCTGTCTGTTCTGCTCCCTGCTCTCTCTGGTGAATTCTCTCACCCTCCCACGCCTCTGACCTGTACCCCAGTTCTTGTATAAATAAATAAATCTTTTAAAAAATAAAATAAAAGGCGGGCCTCCCCTGGTGGCGCAGCGGTTGAGCGCTGGGTTGTGAAGCTGCCCGCAGCCCCTGCAGCGCCGGTTCAATCCCCGGCCACCAGCGAGGGTCCCACATGGCGCAACAGACCTCTCCTGCCGCTGGGGCTGCTCCCCTCAGCAGTGTATTTTGGTCCATCTGCCTGTTATGTTCCTCGCTCTTGCTCTGGTGAGTTCTCTCACCCTCCCGCACTTCTGACTGTACCCAGTGCTTGTATAAATAAATAAATAAATCTTAAAAAAAAATAAAAGGAGAAATTTGGATGGACACACACGCACACACATACACACACACGGAGACCATTATGTGAGGGTGAAGGCAATGATTGGAGTTATGCTTTTACAAGCCAAGAAGAACCGAAGATTACCTGCAAATTATCAAAAACTAGGTGTGAGTCATGGGAGATTGTCCCTATCCAGAACCGTGAAAAAATAAATTTCTGTTGTTTAAACCACCTAGTCTGTGTACTTCATCCTGGTTGCTCTACCAAAAGAATACATTATCCACATGTGAAAATCATTTGAGGGCCTCCCCTGGTGGCGCAGCGATTGAGCGTGGGGCTGTGAAGCTGCCCGCAGCCTCTGCAGCGCCGGTTCCATCCCCAGCCAGCGGCGAGGGTCCCACATGGCGCGCAGACCTCTCCTGCCGCGCCCGCTGCTCCCCTCAGTGGTGTATTTCATCAGTCTGTGTGTTCTGTTCCCTGCTCTGGCTCTGGTGAATTCTCTCACCCTCCCGCACTTCTGACTGTACCTAGTGCTTGTATAAATAAATAAATCTTTAAAAAAATTTATTTGAAATGATGGTAATGAAATTTTGAATTTTGACTCTACAGTAATGTTGCATTTTATTTATCAACATTTTGCTGAAAGTAGTTTCCAGCTTATAACATCATCATAAATACAAAATTTTGTCTATATGACAATTCCCTGTTTGTGGCTTATTTTCCTTTGGATACATTCTGAGAAAAAGGTTCAGAACAATAAAAACAATTGGGTGACAACATTTTATGCCTTGGATATATGCCACTAAATTGTTTTCCAAAAGAGTTGTAACAATTTATCTTCTCCCTGCTATGTAATGAATGGCTTCAACACATTCTCACCAACATTGGACAGTATCATTCAAGTACTTTCATACATGTTTCCTGAAAACACTCACATGTATTGTTCAGAAGAGGAGGGGTTAACAAAGAGCTTATTTGTTTAGTTCTAACTTTTCCTTTCTTGCTTTCAGCCAGTTACCAGTGTCTACAGACTAAACTTTGCTTAAGACAATCACTACAGAAGGTGATTCAAGATGGGTAGGAATTAAAATTTTTATTTAAGTAACAGTGGTTTATAATATTTATGTAGGTTTCAGGTGTACCACATCATAAGTCAGCATCTTATATAGTGTATTGTCTTTACTACTAAAGGTCTAATTTCATCCTTCACGATGTAATTGGCATCTTTTACCTATTTTACCACCACACACACACATCCTCCCTTCCCTTCTGGTAACCACTAATTTGGTCTAATAGTCTAGTAGTTTATTTTTGTTTCATTTAGTTCATCTGTTTGTTGGTTCTCTATGTACTACATAGGAGTGAAATCACATCATGCCACACCTGTCTTCTGCGTTTCCACCAAGCATCCTTCTTCTAGATCCCACCATGTTTGTGCAAATGGCAGGACATGTATACACCTGAGTAGAAGTTCATTATGTCTACATACCACCTCTTCTTTGTCCATTCATATCTGTCCATGGACTTATATCGTGTGCCTTTGTTTAAGAGATGAAATCACTCATTTCATTAATCCACCCTTCATGAATTAAATCTTTTTCTTTAGTTGTGTATCTATTGTAACGAGGAGCATGAGGACAGTTTATAGGGTCATATTCCCTTTTGGTTTTCTTAACACAGCCTATCAGGGTTTATCTTCACCTTGTCCAAGAAATTAAACTGGCGTTGGAAGCTTCAGCCTGTCCTGAGAGGAGGGACTCACAGGCCTGCTTATGCCTCTACAATCTTCCTGACGACAGATCCAGTTTTTCCGTTAAAAACTGAACAATGACCAAACCGAATCTCAGAAAAGCTGTTTCTCCCCTACCCCCTCCCTTTAATGTAGAGAAGCTCTACTGAGCAGGTCGTCCTGCACCGCCGGTCTCTTCAGTCTCCATTTGCCTACATGCACACGCACACTCACACACATGCACACCCGGGCACCTTGTGTCCACACAGCCTGTGGTGTGCGCTCCCCACCCAGATGGGAGTGTGCCGCGCCCCGGGCCCTCCTGGGGTTTCTAAGGCGCCCTGCGTGGCTGCTCAGGGCGGGCGTCTCGCGGCGTGCAGCGGACTGGAGAGCATCCCTCCCCGGTGCGCAGTGCAGACCAGCTGAGCCAACTCCGCGCGGCTGTCTTTTCAGCTTGCGTGGGTGGGAAGGTGTGTCCCCCGAGCCTTCACCCTGAACCTCTGAATGACTCTGTCTGTCTCTCCCCTGCCCCCCGCCCCCAGCGTTGGAGCTCTCCCTTTGCACACCAGAGTGGGGCGCCTTCCCCTCACCCACCAATTAAAAAATGAAAAAATAAAACCCCACCCCACCCGGAGCCGGGCGAGCGGGCCGGCAGGTGCGGCAGGAATGGAAACTGCGGGGCGGGGCTGCGCGGCCTGGAGGCCCCCGCCCGCCCCTCGCCCTCCTCCCGCCCGCACCCGCCGCCCAGGCCGGGCGGCCCCGGGCGCGGACGCAGACGGCCGTCTCCTCCCGCCCCGCACCCAGGCTCCGCGCCCGAGAGCCGGAGTCACGTTTGGGAGCCGACAGACGCCAGCGGTTCCCGGCGGCCGGAGTCCGCGCCGGTGAGAGCACCAGGCTAGCCGCACCCCGGCCGAGGTAGGAAGGGCGCCCAAGCCCCCGGCGGGCGAGGATCCGGCTGGGGCCGGGAGGGCCAGGGCGGCGGGGCCCGCGGGGCCGCAATGGGGGCGCGTGGTCCCCGAGGCTGGTGCCGGGGCTGCTCGCGGACCCCTGCGGTTAGGCGACGTCCCCGCAGGTTTGGCTCCCGCAGAGCCGGTGCAGCTGGGGCGCGTGGGGAGGCCGGGGGCGACGGGTTCCAGCGCCCGAGAAGGTTCCGCCGGGGCCGCGGGGACTGGGCGGAGAAGCGCCGGCGGGTCACCCCGAGGCGGTTCCTGGAGCGCGCCGACCCGAGGCCACGTGTGCGGTGGCCGCTGCCCTGCAGGACCCCGGGCCCGGCGCGCTGCCAGGACCCCGGGAGCGGTCCTCACCGCCTGCGCCCCACCCGGACCCGGCGCGCCGAATCCCGCACTGGACCTCGCCAAGGTGCCCAACCCCGGGCTGGCAGGGATCCGAGGGCCAGGGCGGGCCCGTCCCTCGTGGAAGTTTTCCACCTCTTTCTGTGACCTCGGGCGTCGCGGGAGCTCCAGTTAGAGAGGCTGGCGGGGGGCCGCGCGCGTGGCCGCGAGTGAGCTCACCTGCGCCACCATCCCCTTCTCCTATCGCTGATGACCAACTAGCAATGGGGTCCACCTGCCAACCTCCTGAGTCTTCTCACCCCTGGGTGGGCGGGCCGAGGAGCGCTTGTTCTCTCGTGGCTAACTTACCTGGGCTGAGCAGCCACCCTTCTCCTGGGGCTGCAAGAGCTTGGGTGATTGCCTGCCCATGTAGTGTGAGGAGCTGGGACGCCGTGAGACCTGGCAAGTGAATCATGTATTTTTATTAAATAGAGGTTGCGAGGGGAGAAGTAGACAGCAAGCGTGTGGACGTTGGAGAATCGCCCTCTGGCTTCGGTTACCCATCACCGGTATCGCCGCTTATCCGACTCCGAGATTTGGCTGAGGAGTGGATTTAGTTTAAGTCACATAGGGGAAAGGGAATAAAGGAAATTTCAAGATGGCTATTCAGACTTTTCAGCAAAACCCACGTTTAGGGATGTTTGTGTGTGAGGCTGTCAGAAGATGGCCCTGGGGGTTTTAGGACAAGACTCAAGAGTCACCATTTTACCTATAGTATTTCTCAGGATGTAGGTCTTTTGAGTAATTTTTCCCTGACTGAGGACAACTTCTGCATCTGTTTAATTAACAAAAGTCCTTATTCTACTTTCAAACATTGGATTACAATTCTTTATAAAACAGGTCAGTCAGCAAGAGGTGGTAAACCTTAGGTAATATGTTCCTTCACATTTAAAGGAGGGGATGCAACATCTAATTACAGAAGAATTAAGAATTAAGAATTAGGGGGTGAAAGCAAAGAAAATACCTCATTTGGGTATTGCTCTGGGATTTGTAAAGATTCTGGTTATCTTGACCAAAGTTTTACCATTTGCTAATCTTCTGAAGATGCCTTATTGGTTGCATTTCTTCTTTCAACATCCGAGCACCTTACGAATGCTTTTTGGTATTAATTCCCATGCATGCATGAAAACTCATTCATTCACAAACACTTCTCCTGAAGGGTCACGTGCAGACTGCTTGCTTGCCTCTGCCAGTGTATTCTGATGCTTGTGAAAGCATAGACTGCTCTCGAGGAAGTGTTTTTAATGTTTTCTTTTGTTAATAGATCAGTTTAAGAATCTTATAAAAGCTGTGGAATATGAAACATATAACACATGAAGCAAATGTGTGTACATTCACAGAATTCTGCCTCTCATCTATGGAGTTGACAGCCTCCTTAATCTAAAAGTCAGCCTTGCAGAGATCCTGTGCAGGGCCAGCCTCTTGGTGGTGATGGGAATGAGGGTGTCACACAGGGCCTGGGCTAAGAAGGACCCCATGCTTGGCTCCATGCCCTGCTGTCACTGCTGCTGTCTTAAACATTCTGATACAAGGAGCTCCGAATTTTCATTCTTTGCTGGACCCTGAAAATTCTGTAGCCATTTCTGACCCCCATAGACAAGGCTGTTCTAGAACTTTCAGCATTGCCTCTTAGCAATCTTACATATCTGGTGAATTCTCCAACACAAACCTGGGCGGGGATTTATGTTTCTCAATGTCCCGCTCCTCATTGTCTAAGTGAAGGTAACAGACAATGCCTCTACTCTACCCAGCTTAAAATGCTGTTGTGAAGACACTCTAGGTAAAGAGATAATTGTCAAAATGCCTACTTCCCCTGAGCATTTCTGTGCCAATAAAGATGGTATTATGGCAAACTTCCCTTTTTCACTTCATTTTTCAGAAGCAGCTTGAGGAAGATTGGTTAAGTACAGTAAAAAGGTTGCAGAACTTTTATAACCCTTATATTTTGGTGGATAAGTCCCCCAAAGTAGCTAAGGTATTCAGTATTTTAAATATTTCTTCAAAATTATTGTTTGAACAAGATCAGAATTTGGCAGTGAAAAAAGTACAGAATATTTCTTGGGGCCTCCCTGGTGACCTAGGGGTTAAGTCTCAGTGCTGTCACCACTAAGGCCTGAGTTCATTCCCCTTTTCTTCTATTCCCAGCCAGGGAGCTAACCCACATGGTGCAGCAGACCTCTCCTGTCTAGCCCGCTGCTCTCCTTGGCAGTGTATTTCAGTAGATCTGCCTCTTCTCCCCACTCTGTCTCTGGTGAATTCCCCACACCCTCCTGCACCTCTGGCCTACACCCTAGTCCTTCTATGCAAAAATGTAAATAAATTTTTAAAAAAAGGTTCACCTGAAAAAAGAAAACAAAAAACTTCTTGGTCCCAAAGATAATTCATTGATTAAAGAGAGGTTTCGGTCAAATTCATCCAAAAATTGAACAATGGAAACTTGAGTCAATAATTTGAAGTATTTTGAGGAGGTGATTGTAGTGGCAGGATGGGCACAGAGCAGGTTTTCTATGATTCAAGCAGACTGGGTAAAGGAGGAGTTCTGGAGTCCTTGGTGGCTTTCTCCGGTTTTTATTGAGCTTTTACATGTAGTGCAGCAACCAGGTACACGGCAGGCAGGAATGCTGGGGGGCCAGAAGGCCTCCAAGCCCCCAGCAAGTCTTCACTCTGGCCTTCTCTGGCTTTCTTTCTCCCCTTCTTTATCCTGCCTCTGCCTCTCTTGGGAGATATCTCAATACTGCAGCCATGGCCAGCAGAAGTAAACATCATAACTTATAACAGTGTAACAAATGCAGGTGCCCCATCAGGAAGGGCAGTCCTAATGGCAGGAGAGCAGAAAAGCCTGAAAACCATTTACCCTACAGTGAAAACCATATACCCTACCTCTTTGATAAATTAAGATTTGAAAATTAGGGGCCTCCCTGGTGGCACATGCAGTTGAGCCCAGTGCAGTGAGGCTGTCCATAGCCGCTGCAGTGTGGGTTCGAGCCAGGCCGGCACGGAGATACCCACATGGTGCGGCAGACCTGTGCTGTCTCGCCCACTGCTCCCCTCAGCAGTATATTTCAGTCAGTCTGCCTGTTCTGTTCCCTGCTCTATCTCTAGTGCATCCTCTCACCTTCCTGCACATCTGGCCTGTATCCCAGTTCTTGTATAAATAAATCTTTAAAACAAAAAAAGATTGAAAATTTATATTTTCCAAATCTCTATCAAGTCACTGTTAAATATTCTAGCAATATTTAACAATATTGTATACTTTTATAGCAATAATATACTTATATAGCATAATACTTTTATAGCAATAATATACTTATATAGCATAATACTTTTATAGCAAATAATATACTTTTATAACAATAAAAGTATACCTACCTAGTCCCTTGCCAAATTTTCACCTGTTGTAACACTAGGGGAGGAACTGAGGAACTTTAAGGAAGTCTTCTGTCCCTACACTGTTCCCATTACCTGCCTCTTTGCCCCCAGGCCTTGCCCATTTTCCAGCTTTCATCTCCACCGTAATGGTAACACATTCTGAAGAACTGGGGAAGAAAATAAAGTGAAGAGAAATGAGCCCAATTCCTATATCAGAATCCTATAATGGGGCCCTTTAGGGGCCCATGGAGATGCCTCCATACAAGCATGTGCACAGGCAGTCTGTGTGCTTTAGAATATGTGAAATCTTTAATGAGACAAATTAATGCAATGTAAAGTGTTAATCGGTAATATCAGATTAGCTGTTTTAAGGCAAGATTAGGCAGCAGATGAATGATACAGAAAATAAGCAGTGAATTCCCAAGAAGAGAATAAAATACATTGAAATGGTTAGTGAAGCTTAAGAAGTGAGATTTATGAGATGTTCCTTAAAGTCTGCTCCTAATAGAGGTAAATAAAGACTTCTGGGTGATTGATGTACATAAAGGTAACAATCTAGACAGCCTAAATTTCATATAAGTAAAAACTGGAGATAAAACTAAGAGAATGGTCCACTGGCTGTTCAGTCATATAAGATGTCAGTAAGCCCATTCCTTAATGACTCACGGTGCTGATTTTTCTGCATTTAGCATTGAGTAAAACAGATGTGTTTCCTTTCCTTTGGGAACTTACAGTTAAAAAATTAAATAGTAAGAAACTTGAGAGTGGTACAGAGAACAACCGTGTCATGAAAAAAAAGAGAGGCTAACTGACATGGTGCTCTGGGCTGGTTTCTTGGACAAAGAGTAATTTAAGTCGATATTTGAAAGAAGCATTGGGTTAACTTGGCAAAGAAAAATGGGGAGTGGGAAAAGCAATCTGGGTAAAGAAAATAGCAAATAAGACTGTAAGGAGAGGCACAGAAAGCAAGACCCAGTGTTAGGGAGGGGTGTGCTAGCTGGACAAGGCGGGGTGACAGGGCCAGGGGCTGACACACCTCACAGATCTTCATGGAGACTTTGAGTTGGATTTTCATGGGAAAGCATTGAAGACTTCAAGGGCAGGAACTGTCCAGTTTATATTTTAAGGAGATCTTTGGCTGCAGTCAAGAGAACAGACTGGAGAGATAACAGACTAGAAGTAGGAACAGAGCTGGCAGCAGTGCTGACAGGGAAG